AGAGTTCAGAGACAGAAGGAGACATAAAGAAAAAAGATCTTTCATCCACTGGATCACTCCCCTAATCCCAATTGTCACAATGGCGAGAGTTGAACTGATCTGGTATGAAGCTGGGAGCCAGAACCCTCTCCCTACGTCTCCCATGTGGGTCCAGGGTCCTAAGGACTTCAATCATTTTCCACTGCCTTCCCAGGCTCTAAGGAAAGAGCTAGATCAGAAGTGGAGCAGTCAGGACACAAACTGATGCACATAGGGATGCTAGAGTCACAAAGCAGAAGATTAGCCTGCTGTGCCATTGGGCCAGCCCTGTTAGTTGACTTTTATGTAAGGGGTAAGGTAAGAGTCTTGTTTCATGCTTGTCCACACATAGATCCAATTTTCCCAGCACCATTTGTTAAAGAGACTGCCCTCTTCTAGGGAAAGATTTTAGCTTGTTTTTCATGAAATTATTATAGGTGCTTGGATTAATCTCTGCAATTTCTTATCCTATTCCATTGATCTGCATTTCTACTTTTGTGCCAATATCTGACTTTTTGATTAAAGCAACCCTGTAGCATGTCTTAAAACCTAGTATTATGATGCCTTCAGATTTGTTTTTGTTGCTTAAGATTGCTTTAGCTATTTTGGGTCTCTTATGTTTTTGCATGAATTTTAGCATCATTTTTAATGGAAAATTTCCTTGATATTTTGAGTGGGATTACATTGAATCTGTAAATTACTTTGAGAAGTATGAACATTTGATAATATTAATTCTTTCAATTTAAAAACATGGAAGGGTATTCTATATTTTTTGGTATGTGTCATCTTCTATTTCTTTCCTTTAAGTTTTGTAATTTTCATTGTAGATACCTTTTGCATACTTGGTTAAATTTGTTCTAAGGTACTTTTTTTATAGCTATTGTGAATGGGACTAATCTTACAATTTCTTTCTCAACTATGCCCTTGTTTTTGTGTAGAACTACCTTGGTCTTTACATATTAATTTTGTAACATGCGGCTTTGCCAAACTTTCTTATGATTTCCGATAGACTCTTAGTAATGTCTTTTAGTTCTTCCAAAGATAGGGTTATGTTACTTGCCAACAGGGAAATTTTAATTTTTTTTTCCCTTCCAATTTGTATTCCTTTTACTTCTTTTTCTTGCCCAATAACTAACCAAAACTTTTAGAACTATACAGAATTGCAGTGGCCTACTTCTAAATCTTAATGGAAATACTTGCAGTTTTTTCCAATGCAATATTATGCTGGATGTAGGTTTTTTTTTATAGATTGCCTTGGTTGTATTATGTTTCTTCCCTGCTCATTTTGCCTAAATTTTAATACCTGCATCCCTGGGTAAATTCTGCTTTGTTTGAGTGGATGATCTTTTTCTTTTGCTATTGGGTTCAATAGCTAGCATCTTGTTAATAATCTCCATGGATGTCCATCAGGAGTATCAGTCTATAGTTCTTTTCTTTGTTGTGTCTATAGTTCTTTTTTTGGTGTATTTTGTTTCGTTGGTTGATTTGGAGTTAAGATGATGTTGGCCACATAGAAGGAGTTTGGCACAATTCCCTTTCAACTGTTTTGGATAGTTTAAGAAAAAATTGAGATTAAATATTCTTCAAAAGTTTAGTAGAATTTGGCAGTAAGGCTATTCAGTCCTGGACTTCTCCATTATTTACTGATACTGTTTTCATTTTTGTTATTGGTCTATCTAGGTTTTCAATGTCTTTATGACTCAATTTTTGTTAATTATGTATCCAGGAATGTATCCTTTTCTTGTAGGTTTTCCAATTTGCTAGCATAAAGTTATTGGTAATAATTCATAAAGACTTTTTAACTCACTGGTATCATTTATGCCACCTCCTTTTTCATTTCTGGTTTTATTAATTTGGATCTTCTCTTTTTTTCTCTCTTTTTTTGGTCAATTGGGTCAATGGTTTTCAATTTTTATATAAATGTCACCCATGTGCTTCCCTCCCTTGATTCTTTTCAACAGTATTTACATAGTTATAATTATAATCCACTCTATATTCACAGACTTAATTTGTCACTAATCGTAATATTCTACAAGCCATAATCATAAGGCCAGTTTTCCACTGGAGCATAAATAGGGGCTAAAAATGATAATCCAGCCCCAAAGTGACCATTTAATTCCTATGCTTTTTGTATGTTCTTTATTAGATGCTACATATCAGAGAAAACATGGTATTTGTCCTTTTGAGACTGGCTTATATCACTTAGCATAGTGATTGCCATTTGTATCCATTTTTTTTTTACAAGAAACAGGACTTCATACTGAGTAATATTCTATAGTGCGTACACACCAGTTTTGACTATATTCCATATTTTCTGTATACAAGTATACACTGATGCACATCTGGGCTGATTCCATGAATTCAGCTGCAGTAAACATGGAGCACAAACAACTCTCTTGTATGCTCATTCTATTTTATTTGGGTAAATGTCTAGGAATAGGATGGCTGGGTCATATGGCAGATCTATTCTCAGGTCTCTGAGGAATTGCCAAAGTGTCAAACTGTAATTGTCCTAGTTTACATTCTCACTAACAGTGGATTAGGGTATATATACATTAGGGTGCATACACATTTACTGTAGTCACAGATCCTTGTTGAATTGATCCCCTAATTATTATGTTATAAACTTATTTGTCTCTTCTAACAATTGTTATGTTACAGCCAATTATGTTTGATATTATGATAGCTATTTCTACTTCCGCTTTTATGTATCTGAAAAAATACTTGTTGATATTTCCTTTTAGGAATGTTCTTCTAGGCATAGTAGAAGGCGTACACCTTTAGGAGAAATTCAGATATGTGTTCTGGGGTGAGCTAGGCAGCTCTGGTCAATAGTTGTAGGTGGGACTTAAATAATGCCCAAGTTACATGTAGTAGCTCTCCTCTGTTGTTAGTATTTTCCTTAGCTGGTGTGATTACTACATCTACCCTTCTCTTAGGCAAAGTGAACCTCTGTGTTTACAGCCCTAACTCAGTCTAGCTCATGAACCACAAAAGTGATTGATATACTCCATTGTGTGAGCACAGAGCCCTGCAGGATTCCCATGCCCAGCCTTCAGGATGTTCTGAGCTTCTGCAGTTAGGCTCTGTTATATGCCCAAAGACCCAACCACAGCAATATCCTCACTGGTTTTCTGGCCCACTGTACAGTCACAGAATACACACAGTTCCAGAATGCAGGGGATCTACTTTCTGTACTGAGAATCTATCAATGTAAACAGGAAACTGCCCTGTCTCTGACTCTGTTGCTTTTGCAGGAAGTGAGCAATATGCCAAGTGGGCACCCAGCCATGCCAACTCCCCAGGCAAAACTCCATTCACCTTACTCTGGGAAGATGGTGCTTCCTCTGCTGGGGGTGGGTGCCTTAGTGGGGATATGAGAGGGAAGCACTGTTCCCCTCTTTTACAGAGTGAAGTGGGAACCCTGCTCCTGTCCCCTGCCAATGGAGTAGAGTTCTACAAACTTCTCTCCCCTCAATCTGGGAAGATGGCCTCCATTCCAACTGTGAGAGTTGCTGGTGATGTCCCGCAACATGCTGCATGTTTGTACAATCCTTTTTGTGTGTTACAATCTCTCTTCTTCCTGTAAACTTTATATTGAAAACTTCCCTCTATTGCCAGGAATGTAGATCTTCCCTTGTTTTTATGGCATCTTTTCATGACCAAAATCAATGTATCTTTTCCTTAGCCGGCCATTTTGGGATCACAGAAAACTTTTTATTAAAAAAAAAAAATAAGTCAGTGAAGGTTTTCATAAAACATCTTCAGATTCTGAGTCTTCTGAAATATGGTTTGATGCTACATTTTTTTGGGTTCATGTCTTTCCATACATTTTCGTCATTTACCCAGTTGAAGCTATATGAAATGAACTTTTTTGCCCAAGAACAGCTATTGCTTTTTATAGCTTTTCTGCCCATTTCTCTTGACAGTTTATTTTTAACTTATCTATTTTGATTCATTTAAACTGTATTTTTAAAAGCAGAGAGACAGAGAGAAAACTTCTATTCTCTGCTTCACTCACCCCATATTTGGGTTTTTGGATGACACCAGAAACCTGAACTTCATGTGGGTCTCCCACATGGGGACAGACATTACTTCTGCTTCCTAGGGTGTGCATTGGCAGAAAACCAGAATCAAAAGGGGAGGTGAGATTCATACGCAGGAACTCTGTATGGGAGGTGTGGATTTCAAGTGGTGGTTTTACTGCAGTCACAAATGTCCAACCTTCAACCATTTTCAAAAATAATTTTTACAAGAGCTCTTGCACATATTTCTTTATTTTTTCCTGAGTATTTCAACCTATAAATATTTTAGAAACTGTTTTGAAAAAAAACCTCATAGTTCATTGTTGATATTTAGACGACTGTTTTTATATATTAACTTTGTATCTTGCTACATTATTATAATCAATGTGCTATCTATTTTTTATGCTTAACATAATTTATTTATTTATTTGTCCTTGTATAACTTTGGTTTTGTTACAGTCATAATTTGTGAGAAATTTGTCTCAGATGTGCTAATTTTATGATACTAGTTGAAACAGTTTGAATTAAAAGGGGTGTAGAATTTTAGTTTAGTGCCGGTCTAATGCTGAGGTCTAGTACCTGTCTGTTTTACAATATGAGTCATCTCTTGGACATTTTGATATTTTGAGTAATACATTGTTGATTTTCTGGGTTCCACTGGAAAATTTTTTGTGTGTCATTATAAGTCACAACAAGTGGATTATCTAATAGAATTCTTAAAACAAAGGTAATAAGTATGAAATTAGAAGAAAGACTAATGATTTTTCCAGTTTAAAGAGTGTAAGTGCTTTCTTCTATATCCTCTACAGAGGAATGTCAGAGAAGTTGCCAAATTCACAATCGCCAATCGAGTCTCTTAACTTAGGCTGAGTGGATGTCAGCTGCTGCTCCATCTTCTTTATTTGCAAGTGTGGTTAAACTTCTCTTTCTTCTTTCTCTCCCACAATATGCCAACAGGAAACCACTTCTGTACAGCTAAGGAGCTCATGGAGGAGATTCAGTCACTAGCCATGGAGAGACATGTGCTGGAGGGAGTCCTCAACAAGCTGTTGATGCTGAGTTCCAGGAATGTCCAAACACTGGGAAGTGTTAAGGAGGATTACACCAGATTGAGGAGAGACTTAGAGCACCGGGAAGCTGCCTACGGTAAGTAGTGCACACCGTGGCCTGGTGGGGTACAATACGTGTTGTGAGACCAGGCAGGACCCTCTGTGCTTCATGTGAATGTCATGTGGAGGGCATCGTGGAGCATACAGCGTTTTATCCAAGGGACATTTTTGGCAGAAGTCTTGCCAAGTGGGTGAGATTACTTGGTTAGCTTTTGTTGTGCTACTCAAATTTGACATCTTTCTTTTTCTGTCCTCACTCTCTACCCTTCATTTGCTGATAACTTTGTGATTATTTAGAGCAATCTCTCCCTTGGCACAGGTCTGGAACATTTTGTTTATTTGATGGTTATCTTCCTTTTATCTTGTAGCTCAGTCTTCTGGTCTGAACAGACCAAAGTGGACTGATTTAGAAAATTGAGAAAAGGCTACTAAGGGGGCTCTTCCCTGTGTGAGTGCGTGCGTGCACGTGCGCGCAAACACACACACACACACACACACACACACACACACACACACACACACACTCTTTTTCAAGCTTTTCTAGGAAGAGTGGTACTGGAGATAGAATTCTCTGTGTACTTCCTTGTTCTAGTTATTAAGAGTACCTGAGGTCACACTGAGAAGTGTGGCCTGTAGGATGCTTATTCAGTCCAAATAGAGATAAAAGTATATTTCTTAAAAAATGCGAAAAATTGTGGATTTATTTTCTAGTCTATGCAATTAAATCTTTAGGAGCAAATTCAGATTTTTAAATATGTTACATGCTGGAACTTGTTTGCTTATCAGCAAATTGAAAAGAATAACTTGTGTTGCAGATTAAATGATGTAGATCAATGACAAAGACATGTGAGTGTGTGTATGTCCCTGTAGTCTGTTGAAGGTGTTGGAGGGCAGGAGTCATATATAGCACAGCATAGTGCTAAAAATGCTTCTAATGGAAAATGAAATAAACATAATAATGGCGATATTTACAAGGTATGCCTATGTAAAAAGAAATGAGAAAAGAACTGGGAGTGGCTATTAAGAGGTAGATTTGAAATAGGGATATTTGAAAATATTTCATAAATCAAAATAAGTGAAAATTATTATCTGTAAAGCAAAGCTACATAAAACAGCTGTCAGCAGCTACATGTGTCACTTGGGAATTAATGAATTTTATTTTGAAGGCTCCTCAGATTATGTAGGAAAGTTTCTTCACGCAGTTGCTTAATTCAAAGGTAGCATGTCCCATGGTCATTGTGTCCTTCTAGCAACCTCTAGGTTGGCTCAATAACTCAGAGTGATCTTTTATTTTCATTTTTTAAAAAGAAGATTTATTTGTTTATTTGAAAGTCAGAGATACGGGGGGTGGGCAGATACTGAGAGAAAGGACTGCCATCCACTGGCTAATCCCCTACATAGCTGCAACAGCCAAGTCTGAGCCAGGACAAAGCCAGTAGCCACAGACTTCTTCCAGGTCTTCCACATGGGTGGTGGGTACCCAGGCACTTGAATCATCATCTATTGCTTTTTTTAGGATGTTACCAGGGTTATGCTTTTTTTAGGATGTTACCAGGGTTAGATCAAAGGTGGAGTAACTGGGACACAAACTATATCCATATGGATGTTGATATTACAGATGACAACTTTACCTACTGTGCTACCAAGGTGGCCACTGGTCTTTTCGCTTTCCACTTCTGTAATAAGGGCTTATGTTGATCAAATACAAATCTAGAGACTATAAATTTAGGCAAAAATATCAATGGTTCTGGGACTGGCACAGTGGTATATCAGACTAATCCTCCACTTGCAGCGCCAGATCCCATATTGGTGCTAGTTTGAGTCACAGCTGTTCCATTTCCAATCCAGCCCTCTGCTTGCGATCTGGGTAAGTAGAGGATGATGTCTCAGGTCCTTGGGCCCCTGCACCCACGTGAAAGTCCTGGAAGAAACTCTTGGTTCCTGGCTTCAGATTGGCTCAGGTCTGGCCGTGGTAACTATTTGGGGAGTGAACCAGAAGATGGAAGAATTGTTTCTCTGTGTCTTTCTGTATTTCTGTTTCTCTATAACTTTGCCTTTTAAATAAAAATAAAATGAATCTTAAAAAAATAATAATTGGTTCTTGAGAGTGACAACATGTTTCCAGTTTATAAAGTCATATAGGAATGAGAATTGTTTCTTCTAAGTGAATTTTTGCTGCCAATTTCTAGGTTTTTTTTTTTTTTAATTTACTTTAAATGTAGTGACACAGAAATAGACACACAGAGAGAAAATAAGGAGAGTTCTTCTATCCAGTGACCCTGGTGGTGCAACAGTCATGGCTGAATCAGGCCAAAGCTAGAAGCCGGGAATTTCCTCCTATATCTGAGCCTGCTACCTCCCAGCATGCATTATCAGGAAGCTGGTTCAGAAGCAGTGTAGGTGGGAGTTGGGTGTCAGATCGGTACCCCAATATGAGGATACAGGTATACTAGGAAGAAACTTAGCCTATACCATCACCACACACACATTTTAAAATGTATACAAATTGAGAACTATGAAATTTCTCTTTTTATCATCATGTAGGTTTTGGTTAAAAATCGCAGGATATGTTATGTGAGAATAAAGAAAATGTGAATAGATTTGACTACTTTAATTCAGCCATATTTACAAATGAATAGTTGAGCTCTTTGCAGTCATTAATATCTTCTTTTTAAAGGGCTGCACAGTATTTTCTGAATCTAATCATTGTCACTTCACTACGTATTTTCAAAGTGATGAATAAAACATAAACAAATGGAATGAGAAATGGTTGCCATCGCTGATTCTAAATTGCAGATGGCTTGTTACTGTTGCAAAGCTCTCTTTTATGTTTTATATTTGGAATCTGCTGGGTCAGCTGAACAGAAATTCATATATGTTTATTTTAGCATGCTTTATGTTGAAGCTAATTTTTAACCAAATTGATGTTACTTGGCTATGAGTAAATTAGTCATCCTAGTTTGGTGAGTGTATGGGAAACAAATAAATTTCCAAAAGAATAAGTTCCTGGCTAAATTGGAGATTTTAGCTATGGAAACATCAGAGAATTAGGCAAAAGTTTGTGTTCAACTATTTTCAGGTTTTGAAAGTTTGAAATTCTGAGGGAGCTGAGTGTCAAGTTAAATGTAGAGCATTTGTATGTAAACATCCCTGTGTGGATTCCATGATTCTTTTTTAGTCCTAGACAACTCATTCTAAAATAAAAATGTCTTTAAAAGGACCACTCTGTAGAGATAATTTTAAAAAACAAAACAAAACGAAAACCTCAAAAACTTTGCAGGATTTATTTCAAGGCATGGCTGTTGAACGCAGCATTTAGGTGACAAGGCTCTCAGGGATAGGTGAGCAGATCTAGCTGTCAGGGACCTAGGCTCTTCCATTCTACTGTGCAACCCACCACAGGACATTCACCTCAAGATGGCTGAGCCAGACACAGATCTGTCCAGGTCCAATAGGATGGACATGGAAGGAAGTCAGCATGTTTTAAAGGCCCTTTAGAGTTTACACATATGTCTTTTACCTGCCATAGCCCTGTCGATGTACCTTTTCCATCCCCATAGCTAACTGCAAAGGGATGTTTAAGTCTCTTTTACAGGGGTCAGTGATCCTCCAGAGGTGATGGAGCTCCACTGGTGACTTACTACCATGTCCTGTGTCTCACATCTCCAGCTAGATGGAGACTCCATTGGGATCAGGGCACTGTCCTTATGTTGCCTGGTATTGTTCAGGATCCAGCACAGTATCTTTCAAGATAGTGAGTGCACCTTAAGTATTTGTTGCTTTGCTGGAATCAGGTGTGAGAGTCAAACATCCTTTCTTCATTTGGGATTTCAGATCTGGACATTGAAACTTGTGCCCAGTTATTCGTTTTCCAGTCTTGTTTGAGCAGTGATTGAGTTTGACCACCTCTCCCGGAAGATGCCTGGCTTGTCTGGAATACTGAGTGGGGTGGCAGCAGACACAGCAGCATGATGAGAGCAGGGAGATTGGAGCATGCCAAGTACTAGAGAGCAAAAGCATAGACATCCCCATAGAACCCACTGGCTTTGTCACTGTGTCAAAGGCTAGGAAGGGACAAGAAAGAAGTGTGCCTTAGCTCCCGCTCATCAGCTGTTCTTAAGATTTAAGCAGAATACATTTGAATTCTGACAACTGAAACAGAATGAAAAGCTAAATCTATCTACCACTCCCTGAATGCTTATCGAAATTAACTGTAAACCTTTAATTATCATGGATTTCATTTTTTTTTAAAAGGAGAGTGGGGTGAGAAAGAAAATCAGTGACTTCTTTAGTTTGCCACATCTGCTTTTCAAAAATAAAGAAGCGTCTATAACTATTTTTCCACCCCTTGTGTTTAAATTGGTTATCTGTATTGTACTTTATTAATATTGTTGATTTTTCACTGTAACTCAGATATAAAAGAATTCCATGTCAAGGGGAGAGATTTAATCACAGAATCATTAGGGCTAGAATTTTAAGTAGGGAGTCATTAGTATGTTAATGAATTTTCCCACTTTCTGCCAGCTGCCTGAGCAGGAAAGACACTTCAGATGTAGCTCTGTAGTCTGCTTAGGCCCATGGTCCAGTGAGCTGTCAGGAATCTATGTAGGGGATCCGTTAGCTATGTAAAGGGAGTTCTCAGTGGATACATCAAATGACAGAGTTTCATTTTTTCTTTCTGGCCACAATGGCTGTTTGTGGCCAGATTTAACTCATTTGGCCTTTCAGGTACAGTGGGAAGTGAAAGTCTGAATCAAAGGTAATTTAAAGGTAATAGAATTGGAGAGGAGGCCACTTTCAGAAATGGCTTGGAGTCTAGCGCATTTGCATTAGATTCGAAAGGCCATCTGTCCACACTGACAAGTCCCTGCTTTTATTTCTGGGTTAAGTTTTGATTTTTAAGTCAATAAGGAAAAGCATCACTGAAGAGAGTTTAAATTCTTTAACAGTTTAAATTCTTTAGCAGGTGGAAGGTTGAGAGCGACATCTGGCCATGGCTTTCTTGCTGACAGAGGCCCAAGGGGGCATGAGACATCA